GAGTTGCTGAGGGCCTTGCAAAGTTGCTGCGGCTGGCTTGGAACTCCCGATACTCGATACTTGTTCCTCAGCCTCTCCAGCCACTGGGATTATGGGCGTGTGCCACTGCACTTGGCTACTAGCCTTAACATTTTTGTTAGAGCATTATAATTATACATAGTATTTGGGTTCATTTTGACAAAATTATACATGTAAGAAATTTGATTGCAATCCCCATTCCCCCTTTCCCCATTCTTTCTCCTCTACTGGCACTTTCTACAAATACTTACAGGTGAAACTCCCTTTGGGGTGTGTGTGTGTGTGTGTGTGTGTGTGTGTGTGTGTTTGTGTATACACATATGTATATATCATGATTTTGTCAAATTTATTCCATCTTTCTTCCCCTTTCTCTTCTTACCTCCCTCTTACCTCTTACTGCACTGATCTTCCTTGTGGCTTTATAATCTCCAATCCCCTCCCCCCGCCTCCTTTCCTTTAATCTGCTCCATCTTCCACCAGCACATGCCATTCCTTCATCCTTCTTTAAGGCTGAGTAGAACTCCATTGTGTATCTATTTACCACGTCTTCTTGATCCATTAATCTMTGGGAATCTGGGTTGATTCTATAATTTGACTATTGTGAATTGTGCTGCTATAAACATAGATGTGCCTGGATTGCTACAGTATGCTGATTTTAGATCTTTGGGATAAATTCCAAGGAGTAGAATAGCTGGGTCATATGGTGTTTCCATTCCTAGTTTTTTGAGGAATCTCCACACTRTGTTCCAGAGTGGTTGCACTAATGTTCAGTACCACCAACAATATACAAGTGTATCTATTTCCTCTCATCCTTGCCAGAATTTATTATTGTTCATGGTTTTTGTTGTTGTTGTTGTTGTTATTGTTATTGTTATTGTTGTTTGTTTGTTTGTTGAAACCAGGGATTGAACCCAGGGGTGCTTAACCACTGAGCCACATCTCCAGCCTTTTTTATTTATTCTTTTATTTTGAGACAGGGTCTTGCTAAGATGTTTATGACCTCCCTAAATTACTGAGACTGGCCTTGAACCCGCGCTCCTCCTGCCTCAGCTTTCCAAGCTGCTGGGATTACAGGTGTGTGATTCTGACTGAAGTGAGATGAAATCTTAGTGTAGTTTTGATTTGCATTTCCCTGACTGCTAGAGACATTAAACATTTTTTTTTTCATATTTTTTGTCCACTTGTGTTTCTTTTAAGAAATTTCTGTTTAGTTCTTTTGCCCATTCATTGTTTGGCTTATTTAATTGTTTAGCATTAAGTTTTTTGAGTTCTTTATTCTGGATATTAATCCTCTGTCAGAGGAGTAGCTGACAAAGATTTTCTCCTAATCTGTAGACTTCCTCTTCACTCTCTTAATCATTTCCTTTGCTATGGAGAAGATTTTTAATTTGATGGCATCCCAGTTATTGATTCTTGGTTTTATTTCTTGAGCTTTGTTAAGGAAGCCTGCATCTATATGATGGATGTTTTCTCCTAGCAGTTGCAAGTTTTCTGGTCCAATTCCCAAGTTTTTGAACCACTTTGATTTGACTTTTGTGCAGGGTGAGAAATAGGGATCTAATTTCATTCTTCTACATATGAATACCCAGTTTTCCCTGCACCATTTGTTTAAAAGCCTTGTCTTTTCTCCACATCTACTTTTGGCATATGTCAAGGATCAGATGACTGTAAGTGTGTGGGTTTGTCTCTGTCTTCTTTTCCATTGGTCTTCATGTCCGTGTTGATGCCAGCATCTGGTCTTATATTATTTTTCCTCCATGCCTAGACCAGATTCTTATATACATACACACACATGCTCCTATATATATATACATACACAACATACACAGACATGTTTATTGCATCTCCACACCACTGCCAATTTTAACATACACTATTATCTAATGCACAACCATCAAAATGAGGCCAGCGAAAGTCTGACACAGTGATCCCCTTTCTGTACTGGGGACTGAACCCAGGGGCACTCTACCACCGAGCTACACCCCCAGCCCTTTGTATCTTTTGTTTTGAGACAGGGTCTCACTACACTGCTGAGGTTGGCCTCAAACTATTGATCTCCTCCCTGGGCCTCCTGACTAGCTGGGATCCCAAGCGGGTGCCGCAGTGATTTCTCCAGGGATCCTACGTTTGCAAATTCGTCCACTCATTAAAATCTATTTGTAACCCCCAAATCAGTTCTTGCAGCTTGTTCATGGTCATTTGAGGACACAAGAGAGGGACAAAAAAACTTCTCAGCTTTGGTTGAACGAGACAATCCTCTGCCTTCTGGTTCCAGTGTCCCTGCTGTAAACAAGTATCTTTTTTAGTGCTGGTTTTTTTTTGTTTTTTTTTTTTTGCCTTTTTTGTGCTTTTTCTTGGTGATTTTGCTATTTAAAATGTCCCCAGTGCGGTGCTGAAGTGCTGCTGCTCTTGAGCACAGGAGGCTGGATTTGCTTTCTGGAGAGAATACATGTGTTGGATGAGCTTCCCTCAGGTGCTGTGGGTCGTGAGTTCGGTGCCAGTGCCCAGACAGCATACAGCTAACAAGATGGTTTTAAACAGAAGCACTCTGATGAATATCACCTGGTTTTATCCAGGAGACAGACGTGTGACCCGAAGCTTGAGGGCCCATCCCTGTGTTTCCCAGGAGCGCCACATTCACTCATTGAGCATTTGTGGGACTGTGAAACATACCTCGGATAAAAACCCAGCTGTGTGTTAAAAGAGCTCATTGAGATTGAGGTTTGTAGCAAAAATCATCCCTGAGCAGATTTTAAGGAGGAAAATGTAAAGCAGCAAATTGGCTGAGGCACTGAGGACCGTCCTGTGCTGCGCTGTTTTGCCGCCACCCAGCTTCATCCCCCTTGGCCAGGTGGCACTTCCAGGAAGAACCCGTGATGTCACTAAAGCCATTGACACAGGGCACTAAAGCAGCTTTTAGTAAAACTGGCCTAATTTTCCCCTCTTGTTGGGGATTTTCTAATCAGTCTGATTCGTCACTACCCCTTCCCCTTCCCACACTGTTTGGTTCCTGAGGTTGAAATCTTGCTCCACTATTGTTTCTGGGATTTTCTGCTGAGTTATAGATACCTTTCAGCGAGGCTTGGTGCTGAAATTTTTTCTCTATTAAAAAGAATTTTTTATTATATATGTATATTAAAATGTTACAGAGTAAAATGCACAGATCTTAAGAAAGATGCACAGCTTGAGGAAGTCTGATGTATGCAGATGCTTATTATACTGCACACTATAGAGCTTTTCTAGCATTTGCCAGAAGCTTCTGGATTTTTCTAGAAGGTATAGCACATCCCCAGTTCTTTTTTTTTTAATTTTTAAATTTTTTAAAATTTTTTAATTTATTTATTTTTTCTCTCTCAGTTCTAAGTATAAGGAAATATAAGATGCCATAAATTTTAAGATGCAAGTATCCCGGTGAGAGGTGCAAGCCTGTAATCCCAGTGACTCAGGAAGCTGAGGCAAGAGGATCACAGGTTCAAAGCCAGCCTCAGCAAAAGGCAAGGTGCTAAGCAATTCATTAAGACCCTGTCTTGAAATAAAATACAAAATAGGGCTGGGGATGTGGCTCAGTGGTTGAGTGCCCTTGAGTTCAATCCCCGGTACCCCCCCCTCAAAAGAAGATGCAAGTAAACACATATATGTGATAGATTCTATAATGTAGAAAAGGAAAACACCTTGAACATTAAGTCCTCTCCAGCCACCTCCCTCTAATTCTGCTATCTCATTACCTGTGAGAAACACTTTGGCCAGGGTCTTAGATGTTTATAAGCATATTCTGTACCCAAAGAAATAGGTCCATACATAAATATACATAATTTTTATTGTAGTAAAATATACATAGCATAAAGCTTTCCATTTTCACCTTTGAAGTCTCCAGTTCAATGGTGTTGATTCATTAACCATGTTGTGCTGCCATMTATCTATTGAGTTACCAGTATCTGTTTCCAGAACTTTCTCACCATCTCAAACAAACTCTGTCCATCCCTGGTAAATTCTCTTCTCTGCCTCTCTGGGTTTGCCTARTTTAGGTTTTTCGTTACAATAGTTGTCCTTTGGAGCCTGATTCCTTCCACTTAGCCTCAGGTCTTTAGGATCCACCTGGGTGGCAGCTGAGTCAGAACTTTGCTCCTTCTAAGGTTTCTGGGCTGTAGCTCAGATAGCACTCGTGATTAGCAAGTACAAGACTCTGGCTTCATGCCCAGCACCACAAAACAATTTTTTTTCCTTTTCACATTTTGCTTGTCCATTTATCTGTGGATGGACATAAAAATGGTATTTTTTAAAATTTCAAATCAGAGCCAGGTACAGTGATGCACACCTTTGATCTCAGTGACTCAAGGGGCTAAGGGAGGAGGATCGAAAATTGGAGACCATCCCAGGCAACTTAGCAAAACCCATTTTTTTAAAAATGTTTAAAAAGGGCTGCGGTTGGGGGGAGCAGGGCTAGGGTTTATGGCTCAACGGTAAAGCACTTGCCTAGCACGTGGGAGGCCCTGGGTTCAATCTTCAGCACCACATAAAAATAAATAAGTAAAATAAAGGTATTATGTCAAACTACAACTAAAAAATAAAATAAAACAAAAAGGGCTGGGGATATAACTTAGTGGTAAAGCACCCCCTGGGTTCAATCCTCAGCACAGAAAAAAAAAAAAAATCAAATTGATCATTCCACATACCTTGTGCTCCTAGGTTTTTTTCATTCAAAAATATGTCTTGATGCTTATGTAGTGTCAATAAACACAGATAACAAATAAAAAAAATAATACCAATGCATCTTGTTCTTTTAATAACTTTGTAATATTCCACAGCCTGAGCGTAACATTGATTAGTTAACTGATCCTCTAACCATGGACATCTAGGTTATTGCTAGTGACTGATCATTATGCCCTCCTTCATCGGACTCCACCCTCCCTATGTGACATAGAAAACTTAGTAGGCTCCTCCAACCCACTGTCCTTCCTCTTCAAGGTTCCTTGTCTTCCCAGGTCAGTGACTGGTGGGAAGAATTTGTGTACCTGCGCTCCCGCAACTCACTGATGGTGAACAGCAACTATTACATGATGGTGAGAGGGGCGGAAAGGTCTGGGGGTGGCTGGAGAGCCCCAGGTCGAGGGTTGGTGCCTGGGTAAAATGTGGCATTTATGGCCTGTGACTTGAATCTGGGACTGCGGTCTCAAATAATAATTTTACCCTGTTTTGGACTGGGAGCGCCCCTCGGGTGTCTTGCCACCTCTGTCTGCTCTGGCCCCCAGGACTTCCTGTATGTCACACCCACGCCGCTGCAGGCGGCTCGCGCAGGGAATGCGGTCCATGCCCTGCTTCTGTACCGACGCCGTCTGAACCGCCAGGAGATTCCCCCGGTAAGACAGCCACTGCGTGCTGGGGACAGAGGTCTGGTCCCCTGGCTTTGGGACCCCATGGGTCCCAGCAGGCAGCTCACAAGCGAATGGCCTCCTGCAGAATTTGCTGATGGGAATGCGCCCCTTGTGCTCTGCCCAGTATGAGAAGATATTCAACACTACGCGCGTGCCAGGGGTCCAAAAAGGTGAGACCCCCCCCTGCTCCCCTCCCACTGATGAGACAAAACTACAGGTCCTCCGGAGCCAGCCTGCTTCCATCTTTCCGCTGTGGCCTTGGGCAAGTTATTACTCAGGTTATAACTTGCCTCAGTTTCCTCATCCCTGAAATGGGATAATAGTGGTACCCAGGGGGTGAAGATGGGACACGTGTTAAGCACTGCTCGAGGCACACGGGAAGTGCTGAACCAATGGTCGTTATTCTTCTCCTGTGTCTGGCCTTCCCCACCGGCTGCTTCTGCCAACACCACCCTAGACTACATCCGCCACCTCCAGGACAGCCGACACGTGGCGGTCTTCCACCGGGGTCGATTCTTCCGTGTGGGGACCCATTCCCCAAATGGCCTGCTCTCCCCGAGGGCCCTGGAGCAGCAGTTCCAGCGAATCCTCGATGACCCCTCGCCCGCCTGTCCCCACGAGGAGCACCTGGCGGCCCTGACGGCTGCTCCCAGGTGAGGTGCAGAAGGCAGGGGCTCCGGAGCCCGGCCCGGCCTGGCGTCCTGGAAGGACAGGTGGGGCTCGGGTGGAGGCCGGGCAGGGCGGAGGGCCAGCTGGCTCAGGCGCGTCCCGCCGGACAGGGGTATGTGGGCCCAGGTGCGGAAGTCCCTGAAGACCCAGGCCGCCCAGGCCCTGGAGGCGGTGGAGGGGGCCGCTTTCTTTGTGTCTCTGGTGGCGGAGCCAGCCGGGCTCACCAGGGAGGACCCCGCCGCTTCTCTGGATGCCTATGCCCACGCCCTGCTGGTCGGCAGGGGCCACGACCGGTGAGTCAGCCCTGGGCATCAAGACCCTGCACCCCAGGCCTGGGCAACCTCTAGATCCAGGGCCGAGGACCCCATACCCTGTGCCTTGGGACTGCGAGACCTTTGAACCAGAGACCCCGGATCCATAACCAGGACCCTAGGGCTCCAGACCTGAGACCACCCCAAGTCCCTGAGCTAGACCTAGAAACCTCTAGATCTGAGACCCTAGACCCATAAGCAGACTCAGCATTCCCAAGACCCAGAGACCCCAGATCCCAGAGCCATGGAACCCCGATGTGGGAACCTCAAATTCAGAGCTTGGACCACTGAACCCTCAAATCTTCATGCAGTCACTCCAAACCCAGGTTCCCCAGACCTGAGCCCCCCAACACACACACACAGGGAGAGCCTCAGAAAACTTCCTTGCCCACAGGGCTCCACTGTGACATCCCAGGTCCAGGATGTCTAAAAACTACCTCAAAATTCCTGAATGCCCTCCATCTTAGACATGGCTGTGGGACCCTGCAGAGCTACCTGCTGCAGACCCCAGCACTCCTAGAGGGGCCCCCACACCAACATTCCAGCTGACCACATGTTCCTTCCTGAGACTCCCCAGCAAGTCCCACGATGCATCCCAAGCCTTTCTCACTGCTCCCCACCTCTGTGCCCCTGCTGAACTTTCTCCCACAGCTGGTTTGACAAGTCCTTCACCTTGATTGTCTTCTCCAACGGGAAGCTGGGCCTCAGTGTGGAGCACTCCTGGGCTGACTGCCCCATCTCAGGACACATGTGGGAGGTAGGCAGTAGCTGCTGCAGGCTGGGGGTGGGCAGGTGGAGAAGCAAGTTGGGGATGATGGCTTCCTTTGCTGAATGTGGGTAGTGGGGGCTCAGAGAAGGGAAGTGTTTTTCCCCTGAGTCACACAGCAAAGAGTTGCAGAGTCAGAACATGAATCCAGAGTGCCCTGACACCACAGTGTAAGGCCTTTCCACCAACACGTACCGAGAAGAGCTATCTTCTAGCTCTGGTTTGCTATGTAATCTTGAGCAAGCTACTCTCCTGCTCTGAGCTTCACTGTCTCCTTCCTCAAGTGAATCAGTTGGATTTGTGTGTGTGTGTGTGTGTGAGAGAGAGAGAGTGTGTGTGTGTGTGTGTGTGTGTGTGTGACAGAGAGTGAGTGTGTATGTGAGTGTGTTGTGTGTGTGAGAGTGTGAGAGAGAGAGAGTGTGTGTGTGTGTGTGTGTGTGTGTGTGAGAGAGGGAGAGATATGCTGGGTCTTGAACTCAGAGGGTACTCTACCACTGAACTACTCAAGGGTCTTTCTAAGTTGCTGAGGCTGGCCTTGAACTTGCCATCCTCCTGACTCAGCCTCCTGAGTAGCTGGGATTATAGTGTGATCCACTGCACCCAGCCTAATTATATCTTTAAGTGAAACTCAATTCAGTTTAACCTTAGACCCTTCAGACCACTTCATGCCAGTTTGTCATCTCTGCATATTGACTAAAGGCAAAATGTGAGCTGGACACGGTGGCTGACACTTACCTGTAATTCCAGCTATTCAGGAGGCTGAGGCAGGAGGATCACAAGTTGGAGGTCAGCCTGAGAAATTCAGTGAGACCCTGCCTTAAAATTTAAAGAAAAAAAAAAAAAAAAAGAGGGTCTTGGCTGGGATGTAGCTCAGTGGTAGAGCACTTGCTAGCATGCAGCCTGAGTTTGATCCCTAATATCACAAAAAAATAGAAGAGAGGTAACAAAGGGTAAGAAAAAGATGAACACAAACTCTTACGCCACAAATGAGGCGTTCTTTCTGGTGTGACTCACACCTGAAGTCCCAGTGACTCGGGAGGCTGAGGTAGGAAGATCACAACAAGTTCCAGGCCAGCCTCAACAACTTAGTGAGACCCTGTCTCAAAAAGTAAAAAGGGCTGGGGATGTGGCTCAGGGGTAGTGCATCCCTGGGTCCAATCCCCAGGACCACAAAATAAATAAAATAAACAAGTGAGGTTCTCCTCCTATGTGTTGGGTGTCACAGTGGGAGGTCAAGCCCATGTCCTAGGGTGGTTGTGAGATGTCACTGAAATGTGAACCTCGAGGGCAGGTACAGCAGGTGCCTGGTCAGGGCGGATTTAAAATATTTGACACCAGCGAGGTGTGGGCGGCACCGGATCCCAGTGAGAGCTGGGCCTCACAGCAGCTTCTTTCCAGTCCCAGGATGGTGGCGGGGTCCTGGGAAGGTAGGCTGCTGCTGCTGACTCTATTTACCAGCCTGTCCAGGGTCAGCGGCACCAGCTAAAGCGTTAGTCCTGTTCTCAATGCGCWTGAACCTGGGAGCCCACCGTGAACCTCGGGGGTCGGTGGTTCTTAGGGAATGCCCTTCCCTGAAGAGACACAGCCTGGTCAGATGGCCACAGTCCACAGGGAGGAGGGCCTCTCGMAGCCTCTGGTTGTCCACAGTTCACTCTGGCTACAGAATGCTTTCAGCTGGGCTACTCAGCAGATGGCCACTGCAAGGGGCGTCCTGACCCCACGCTGCCCCAGCCCCAGCGGCTGCAGTGGGACCTTCCAGAACAGGTGAAGTCAGGCTTCCTTCAAGCCCCCAAATCCTAGCCCTGGCTCTAAAGCCCTCCCCATCCTTACCCTTGACCTTGGAATCAACCCTAACGCCAACCCCAGTCCATACCTCATGCCAGATCTAACACTCAAACACGTGCCCCAGCCTCAAAGCCCAGCCTGTCTCCACTCCTTCTCAAGCCCCACTCCCGCCCGTCCCACTGCCCAACCCGCTCAACTCACCCTACCCCAGTCCTGTCCCGTCACCAAGCCCCACTTCTCCCCACTCCAGTCCCCCTCATTCCCAACACGGGGACCATTCCTAGATTCAGCCCCTCCCCCGCCCTAGCCCCAACTTCAGTTCAGTCTCCAGAGCAGCCCCCAGCCCTGTCCCAGCCCCAGCCCTGTCCCAGCCCCAAGCTCTGACCAGCCCCAAGCTCTGACCCAGCCCCCAGCCCTGTCCCAGCCCCAGCCCAGCAGCCCAGGCAAGCGCTCCGCTGCACCTCTGTCTCTGGCCACAGCTCATACCCCATCTCCATCCCTGCGTCTCCACCCGTCAATGACTTCATCCTTCCTTCCCTCCATACCCCCCCCAACTCCATGCCATCTCCCAGCCCCATTCCTGGCTCTAACCAGCCCCGTCTGAAGCCCAACCATCCCTCCTCCCTGGCTCTCCGGCAGGTCCACCTGTCCATCTCTCTTGCCCTGCGGGGAGCCGAGACGTTGTCCAGCAATGTCGACTGCCACGTCTTCCCCTTCTCCCACTTTGGCAAGAGCTTCATCAAACGCTGCCATCTGTCTCCAGACAGCTTCGTCCAGATGGCCCTGCAGCTGGCCCACTTCCGGGTCAGTCTCGGTCCCCCATCCCAGCCCATCGGGACCTCAGCCTCCCTGGGCTCCCACCACCTGCCTCTCGGCCTCCTCCATTACTTGTCTTTGCCCTGGTGGATCCACCATCTTGATTTCTCCACAAACTGCAGGCAGGAGGCTGGAGGTCTGGACCAGGTGGGTCAACTGTGACCACTTCCTGATGGGCTCCTCTCTTCCTTGTCCCCCAGGACAGGGGTCAGTTCTGCCTGACCTACGAGTCGGCCATGACGCGCTTGTTCCTGGAAGGCAGGACCGAGACGGTGCGGTCTTGCACGCGGGAGGCCTGCGACTTCGTGAGAGCCATGGAGGACCAGGAGAAGACAGTGGGTGTGGCCTCCGGGAGGCTTCCCTCAGGCATTTGCTCACACTTGTGGCTGGGCTCTGTGACGGGGCGCCAGGGACAAAGGAGGAACCAGACCTGGTCTCTGGCTTCAAAGAACCCATGGATTGAGACAGAGATAGCCCCGCATAGCCTGCTCTTATGGCGGTCACACAGAGCACTGGGGGAGCACCCAAGAGGGAGCCCTGTTTCCAGTATGGCTCTCTTTGCTTATTTAGCGTGTGTAACCTTGTGACCAGACGCACCATTCCTCATAACCTCTGCCCAGAACCTCCCCCAAGGCACCTCTGTTCCTGCCTCCCTTTATCTATGAGATATTGTGGTTCAGTGGAAGGAGTTTGGGCTCCGGAGTCAGACAGACCTGGGAACCCACCTGGTTTTGCCTTGCTTGCTGTGTGACCTTGGGCAAGTGACTTCCCATTCTGAGCCTGATTTCCTTCTGTAAAGTGGCGTGAATATCCCTGCCTKGCAGGGATGTTGCAGACTGGCTAGATGCCAGGCATGCCACAGGCCCAGCAGTAAGCCCACCTCCTGTCTTTCCATGACCTGCGACCTCCCCGGGGACCCCAGGACCCACAGTGCCTCGCCCTGTTCCGAGTGGCGGTGGAGAAGCACCAGGCTCTCCTGAAGGCAGCGATGTGCGGGCAGGGGGTCGACCGCCACCTCTTTGCGCTCTACATCGTGTCCSGATTCCTCCACGTGCAGTCACCCTTCCTGGCCCAGGTTGGGGTGTAGGGCAAGGGTGGGGGGGGCTGGGGAAACCCTGGGAAAGGGAGGGGTTTCAGAGCAGCAAGGGTGAGGTTGGAAACGGAGAAATCAGCAGGGGAGGTGGGGGGAGAAATCCCCAGAGGGGGCGGGGCAGGGGACCCCGCTTAGCGAATCAGGAGGGATGTTGAGGGTGGACCGACCTAGAGGAGCCCAGGGCAGGTCTGTCTTTCCCGAACACGTGAGTGTCTCCCGTCCCTAGGTTCACTCGGAGCAGTGGCCGCTGTCCACCAGCCAGATCCCTGTGCAGCAGACGCACCTGTTCGACGTCCACAACTACCCAGATTACGTTTCCTCGGGTGGCGGATTCGGCCCTGTGCGGAGCTGGGGACCCGGGCCTGAGGGAGGAGGAGCTGGCGGCTCTCCTGCGCGGGAGGGAGTTATTTTGTTTCCTTCACTTTCTCCCACTCCAGGCGGATGACCATGGGTACGGGGTTTCTTACATCTTCATGGGGGATGACATGATCACCTTCCACATCTCCAGCAAAAAATCAAGCACAAAAACGGTGAGACAGGCTGGGCCGCCTCCTCCACCCCCACCCTCCTCCCTCGGACCCAGGGGTCCTGGCCCCAGCCCTGCCTYCTTGGAGCGGGAGTCTGACCCCCTGTGTCGCTCAGCCCCACGAGCCCCAGCGTGTGTCTCCTCCAGGACTCCCACCGGCTGGGGCAGCACATCGAGGATGCTCTGTTGGACGCGGCCTCCTTGTTCCAGGCAGGGCAGCGTCTTAAGCGCCGGCGCAGAGGGCCAGGGGATGAGGACTCGGGACACAGACGTGGATTTATCTCCACTAAGACTGTGGATTCCCAGGCACCCAGGACCTCCACACCCGCTGACCCCTTCCAGTAGGGAGCTGGTCTCCCTCAGGGACKAGTGTGTAGATCCCCACAGCTGGGCTGGCGCAGGACAGGGGCGGCCAGTTTGGCAGCTCAAAATCTGGGCCAATAAAGATGTGTGAGCTGGGTGTGTGGTTTCCACTGTGCCCTTGGGCAGGGGTGGTGGAGGTGAGGATCAGGGTGCCAGAGAAGAGTTTCCATGCACCCAGTCCCACCATGGATTCCCAGTGACAACCTCAGTTACAGCCCCAGCACCTGCCAACCTGCTCTGTTCCTGCCTCTAACCATGCCCTTCCTGACCAGCTCCAATCCAAGACCCATGGGTTCTCATGAGCTCGGTTCCTGCTGCCCCACCAGCCTTCCACCTCAAACTCCTTTAYAAACCTAAATTAGGGACACACAGGGCCTCAGGCACTCTAGGCAAAACATCCACCTTTGAGCTACATCCCCAGCCACTTCCATGGAGAATCTGACTACCCAACCCAACCCCAGCCATTTCAGCCTCTTCTCTGTGGTGGATTCTGCCCCCCCTGACTAGGGAATGTCCACCCTCCTGACCTCTGCCATGATCCAGCAATCAATAACTCCAGGACCCACGCTCCCATGCCTCCAGCAACTCAAGTGCAGCTAGAACCACACAATCAACATGAAAAAATCCTACCCCAAACTCCACCAKATCCACCAAACCTCCTTTCCCATATCTAAACTTTGGACTTTAAACCTCCTATTTCCTGATCACACCTGTATTATTCCTCCCATGTGCCACCACTACAGTCCCACCAGCCCAACCACAGTTGTACCAGCACCAAACCCCAACCTTCCAACCCACGATTTGATTCCAGTACCCAGGACTGCAACCACCATGGCTTCCACCAAGCCTGAGGATACCACCACAACACCACCTCAGTTCTGAGCAAGCCAGTCTCCACAGTCGATCCACCACTCTGTGGTGGTCTCCAACACTGTCCACAAGCACTTTCACATCCGTCCCTCTAAAAGGTGGGGACGAATCTCCCTCCCCTGAGTATGGGCTGGGCTTAATGACTTTCTAGCTAAAGGCATGTGGTAGAAGTGACTAGGTCAAAAGAAACACTGTGGTTTTCTTCTTGCCCCATTTCTGAATCTCTTTGGGGGGAGACAGACATGAAGACAATCAACCTACCTGAGAGGCCCTTGTGGCGAGGCCTCCTGTCAACGGCCTGTGCGGAAGCACTGAGGGGGCGTCTTCACTGTAACTCCGTGAGGGACCCTGAGCCAAAACCACCCAGCCAAGCCACTTCTGAGTTTCCCGACTCTCAGAAGCTATGTGAGATGATAAATGTTTGTTGTCTGGAGCCGCCATATTTTGAGGTAACATTTTCTTTATGCAGCAATAGAGAACTAAGACAAATGCCAAACAAACAATCCATACCCTTCAGCCCATTCCAATTCCAAACCCCATTTCCAGACCCATATCTGAGGTGACCCTCCAGTGACCTCACACTCTTAGTGTCCACACCTTTGTATAATCAGTTGCTTTGAGAGCGGTAGGACCCRTAACCTGCTTCCGACCAACAGGCCATGGCGAGGGGATTGGTTGTCGATCCCCGTGTAGACTCCATCCTGGCAGAGTGAGGTGACAGATTGTCCTTGTGGGCTCTCAGCCAAAGTGTCTTCCACAAGGAACTGCGGGTGGCCAAGTCCACTCTAGGTGACTTCCAGTAAGACTGCCAGCMAAGCGCCAGGGCCCTTTGTCACACAGCCACAGGCTAATGGCTGCCTGCTTCTTTAATGCCAATCTCTTGCTGTCATCATGAATTACCACAAACTTGGCATAAAACACGAATGTATCATCTCACGGTCAGGAGTTCAGGTACGGCGGGGCTCAGCTGGCTCCTCGGGTTAGTGCTGGGCGCCGGCAACTGCAGGTCACGGCCTCACCCGACCCCCCCTCTTCTCCTCTGCTACATCCCTCTGGCTTTTACAGAATTAGGGGACTAGACTGGGCCAGCAGGATAATTTCCCCAACTCAAGGTCTTAATCCCATCCGCAAAGTCTCCTTAACCGCAAGGCATGATAACTCACAGGTCCAGGAATAAAGGCGTGGCCACCTTCAGGGGCAAATATGGGTCAAACTGTGTCCCCCCAAAAGATATGTTGACTAATGCCCTACACCTCAGGGCGGGGTCTTATTTGAAAATAAGGTCATAGTAGATATTATTAGAACGTGTTCACGCGGGATGAGGTGGGGCCTCTCTCCCAAGATGGCTGGATTTCCTGGAAGAGGAGAGACCAGTGAAGTCCAGCCAAGGCTCCCGCAGACAGCAGAAGCTGGGAGAGGCAGGGGGTCCCTCCTGGACTGCCAACCCTTGCAGTCTCCAGAACCGTGAGAYGGAGGTGTTCCTCTCGTTTCTGCCATGCTGTTCAGACACTTTGTTGTGGCACCCTGGGAGATTCATACGTCCTCGCCCCCTCCTGAGGGTGAGCAGGGCCTATGATTAGGCAAGAAGTTAGCAGCAGCAGCTGGAGAAGGCTGTACCAGAACCCTGGGCACCGCTTTGAAAAAATAGACTTCTTGTTGTTTTTGGTGCTAATTATAGAACTCAGGGCCTCTTTCATGCTAAGCAAGTGCTGTGCCACTGAGCTGCATCCCCAGTCCCAGACTTTATTATTGTATTTTTATTTATTTATTTAAACAGGGCCTTGCTAAATGGCCCAGACTGGCCATGAACAGCCTCAGCCTCCCAAGTCACTGGGATTGCAGGCATGTGCTACTGTTCCTGGCTCACACAACTCGCATATATAATTGTTATTATATTATATATATTTTTAGTTGTAGGTGAACACAATACCTTTTTTTTTTTTTTTTTTTTTTTTTATGTGGTGCTGAGGATCGAACCCAGTGCTTCACATGTGTAAGGCAAGCGCTCTACCACTGAGCCACAACTCCAGCCCCTTGGCTTTATTTTTTTAGAGTAGTTTTAAGTTTCCAGAAAAATGGAGCAGCAAGTACAGGGAGTTCCCATGGACCCCCTGTCCCCCCAACTCACCATCTCCCCTATCGTATATGTCCCCAACCAGAGTCCTTACATGTGTTGCTGTGATGAGACTGCAGGATTACATCACGATACCCAAAACCACTGTACTACTTGCACAATCTTCTATAAGTCAAAAGCTATTTCAACATGAAAAACATGGTTGAAAATGTTATTTTAAAAATGTACTTAGGGCTTCTTGTGACTAACCCGACAGATTTGAGAATCACAAGACTTGCAGAAATAAGACAAAAGACCATTTGTTCATGTATTCATTTCATAAACATCCATTAATGTAAAAAAAATGTAATTAAAAAAAAAAGTCCCGACCTGACTGGGTATCTGATATTAAGGAATCATGTTAATTCTCTGTGCATGATAAATGGCTTTGTGGTTATGTTAAAAAGAACCTTTCTCAAGAAATGCATGCTGAAGTATTTCTGGATACAACGAAATGCTGTGGCTGTGCTTGCAGAGGGCCCGGCGGTGAGGGGGTCAGCTTGGCGGCCCGCTGCAGCCACGGGTTTCCACAGATCTAGCGGCTTAAATAGCACTGATTTACCTGACAGTTCTGGAGGTCAGAAGCCAACACGGGCCTCACTGGGCTGAAACCAAGGTGTCAGCACTGGCGATCCTTCTGGATCCTCGTGTGAAATAAAAAATAAAGAGGATTCAGGGTGTAGCTCAGGGGTGTAGCTCAAGGTTCAATCCCCAGAACAACAAAACCAAACCACCTGTGAGCCTCCTGCCTCAGTCTCCCAAGTCGTAGGGATTACCGTGCCCCTGTGCCCAGCAGGGACCCACCGTTGGAAGAATCCCTGTTGGGTCCTCCTGATCTAAATACTGAGCTCACCACGGACAGTGCCAGCAGGTCTCAGGATGGCCTGTGTGTGGAAGCTTCTTCTCAACCCCCTGCCAGGAGTTCTTTTGGAAGGGTGCATGGCGTTGCTTTGGAATCCTGGGGTCTACACTGTGATTCTCCTCTCAGGGGTCTACACTGTGACGCTCCTCTCAGGAGACTCCTTGGCATAAACTCTCCACGTGCTGTATCTGCAGATCCATAGGCAGTTCTAGTCTCACGCGGGTGTGCTGGGTTGCGTGACCCAATTGGCAAAGATGCTTATGCTGAAGTGTACACCTGGTCTGGGTGCCACTCAAAGTGGGAAGTCTTCCAAAAAAGAGTTGGAGGAGTATTTCTAAGTATAGAATGCACTTGGAGACGCCTGTGCCCAGGCAGGAAGAACGGGGCTCCTTGGTGGTGACCTGAGTAGTGACTTTTTTTTTCTTTTTTGCTACTGGGAGTTGAACCCAGGGCGCTCTACCACTGAGCCACATCCCCAGCCCTTTTTCATCTTGGGACAGGGTCTCACTAAGCTGCCCAGGCTGGCCTTGAACAAGGGATCCTCCTGTCTAATTTTTTTTTTTTTGATAGTTGTAGATGGACAGAATGCCTTTATTTTATTTGTTTATTTTTACGTGGTGCTAAGGATTGAATCCAGAGCCTCACACATGCAAGGAAAGCACTCTACCACTGAACCACAGCCCAGCCCCATGAGGTAAAATAATTTTCAACAAGGGTGCAAGGCAGTTCAATGGAGAGGGACAGTCATTTCAATAAATGGCATTGGGAAAACTGGATATCTTTGTGTAAAAGAACAAAACTGGACTCTTACTTTATACCATATATCAAAATTAACTCAAAATGGGTCCAATTATGTAAATGTAAGAGTTAAAACTATAAAACTCTTAAAGCAAAACATATGGGAAAAGCTTCGTGACATTTGAGTTGGCAAGGATTTCTTTTCATATTATACCAAAAGCACAGGCAACAGAAGAAAAAAGATAAATTAGACCACATCAAAATTTGACACCTCTGTTCATCAAGGGACATCAGAGTAAAAAGACAACATGTCAAGGGGAGAAAAGATCCACAAATTATAGCTCTGGTAATGGATTAGTATCCAGAATATAAAAAGAACTCCTACAACTTAGCAGAATGCACAACCAGTTAAAAAATGAACAAGGAACTTTTAGACATTTCTCCAAAGATCTACAACTTGCCGACCAGCACATGAAAAAGTCTTCCACATCATGAATCATTAGGGAAATACAAA